ATTTTCTTTCCTAGCATCTGAAGAATTTTTTTGCTGATATGCTCCTGTTTAATTTCTGTAGCCTTCAGTCATTATAATATTTTTTAAAATAACAATACATAGACACGTATACAGTTTGGTTTTGTCTTTCTAATAGTTTATTCTTCTGATTTGTGGTTATTTTCCAGTTAGAAGTTTTATTCCACCACAACTTATCAATGCAATTATGTAATCCTTTCCATTTTTATTTTTCACAAAGTCTTTTCCATTTCACACCTAAAACAAATGAATGGTTGGCTGTAATGATGAATCTCACAAGATATGAAACATACCAAAGAGAAGGAGAAGAAAATAACCCATCTAGTTTTGCCTGGGAATATGTTACATATATGTGACCCATCCTAAAATTCCTAGCCCTGTGGTCATTCTTTTACTTTTGTGAATGGGTTAAGAGACAGGAATTATGATTATTAGTTATGCATTATTTATAACAATGTATGTATGCAATTAGGATTTTCAAATTAGATCTTAGCACTTTCTTGACAAATACAAACAATTTTCATTGTAACTAGAATGGAAATGTTTGAATAAGTGACAAAATTTTGCTTCTAATTTTAGGTTTTGAGTCATTTTGAACAGTCTCCATTCTCATTCATTTCACTTCCTGGGATTATTGCATTCTGCACCAGATTATAAAGCTTAACCAGAGGGTTACATATTGAAAAAAAAAAATCCGGGCTAGAAAAGAAGCTTATTGATGTTTTTAGACTGTGTAGTATAAGGAGGGTATCAAACTGTGACAAACAGAATTTTAGCCAGGAAAAGCTCCTGGCTTTCAGAGTATTGCCTTGGAATCTAACCATATTTCTATTTTAATTACATGGACATGCTAGATGGTAACTTTTTCCAATATCCTTCACTGTGCCTTAGGAAACACGATAATGTAACTTTTACAATATTACTATTATATCTTTGTCTCTGCATTGGAAAAAATGGCAAATAAAATTAATCTTAATATATCTAAACCGTAAAATGTAATTAATTTAGAGGGTGGATTTTTTTATTCATAATTGCTTTTATTTTGCATTGATATATCAATGGCCAGATAGTGACTTTAAATTTAGAAGCATTCTCGCAATAATCTATCCTTTTAGTATTCTGTGTGAAGACTAATTTCTGAAGGAAATTTTAATACTTACTACAATTTCTGCTATAACAGTAGTTCTGAGGGCACAGACTGCCTTGAGATGTAATGAACACGCCAGAGTGGTTTATGTGATAAAGTTCCTGTATCACTTGCAGAGTCATTATAACCTCAGGATATATGCTGAAATGTGGGAAATTAAATATTATGTAGTCTTTGAGCAAACTTTCTATAATCAGTTTAACTTGTGTATCAAGTAGGCATTCCACATGGATACAAGTATGTGTTCTCAATTTTATTAAGCTGGTAAAGTTTTTGGTGCAACTGTTTTAAACATTAGAGAATAGTAGAAGAGCTGAAGTTGAAAGGGACCTCTGAGGATCAACTAGACCCACCCCTCTGATCAAAGATATGAAAGCATATAAAAATGAAAACCAAAAATTATTTATGTGCAAATGCAGTATAATTTTTTACTGATATAAAACCATATATATCAGCATATTTTTCTTTTCAATCATTTATCATTTCACTCAGCAAAACCAGAGCTGTACAAACTGCCTACATAAGTGTAACTAGAGTTCTGCTGAAAATGCAGTTCCTACCCAAGACATATAGATCACCATTTTCAATGCTGTGATAAATAATAACATGATTGCAATAACAAATATATACATACAGTATATACATATATACTGAATACATAGTAAGTGTTCAGGGATATTGATAATCACATTATGTTTATTCCTTCAACAAAGTTGATATTGGATTCCTCTGACACTGGGTTTGGTTTTATATCATCGTACTTCAAAACTGAAGCAATTTTATTCACTTATTGAGTGACCGTGTTGTCTTTAGTTTCTAACCTATGCAGAACTTCTTGAGTAATAAGGCTGCCAAGAGCTCCAAAAAGCAATGTGGTCAGCTTTTATATATTATGCATATATACAAAACACAAAATGCATCTCAGGAGAAGATGCTACCGAAGTTGTATGTTCAGAACAGTCTGAGACTCTATTTTGTTGTTCTGCTTTGGGGTTATTGAACACTTGTACTAACTTCACAGACTACAATAATTTATTTAGAAGATAGAGGTGATGTAGGATAACGGTTTAACAGAAGATTGCAGAGCTCATGGTAATTCACAGATATTGGTCACCTAGGATAGGATACTGATGATGGATCTGCTGTTCAACTTTTGCTGCTAATCCAATATATTCTCTACTGTAAGATCAGAGAATGTTGAAAGCATCTGTTTTCCACAAAGTAAATTCTCCTTATCTTTCCATTAAGCAAGAAAAACAGATAGGAATAAACCTGAGAAAGTATAGGAAGAAGTCAATGAACTATAGAAAGTCTTAAAAAGAAAAGAAAAAAAAAAGCAAAAAAAGCAAGGGTAAATTGATCAGTAAATGTAGAGATAAAACAGTTATATCTGAACTGAGAAGCTCTTTGTGAGGGATTGAGTCCTTTGTGATTTAAAGGATTTGTGATATTTCATTGAAAAGTTTCCCAATCATGGAAAACCGAGGCCTGAACAAATGTGAGGCATTAAGCTTTTCAGCGGTACAATAATCCCTTGTTATGTACTTGAATCTTTTCCATTACCATACAGTAAATTTGCAAAGAATAGAACATATGGCATGTATTCTAGTTCTTTTTCCCCCCAACTGGCAATGCTCCTAAATGGGTTTTTCCTGTTTCCATATGCTGACTAAGAATATTAATATTCTAATTTGTTTTCAAATCCTTTGCTGAAAGAGTGATGAGCAATATCTCACATCACATGCTCCCTGCTCATACCTATCCTTCTTTTCTGCTACCTCTCCTCCCAAGGACACTCCTTCCCCTCCCTGCAAAAAGTGACCTGCCTTCAAAAAATCCCTTTACCTTTCTCTTGGTAAGGTCATAAGGCAACAAAGTGCTGCCACTCACCCCATTTCCTCTGCTGCCAGTTTCTCCTTGCTGCAGCGACCAGCAATGGTAACACAGAGAATAGGAGAATCAATGGGTGGCCACAGCTGCTGTGTTGATGGGCAGCAGAGAGGTCCTGCAGCCAAGGGACAGAGATAACCAACTGGTCAGAGAGCTGAAAGCCCAGTCCAGCTGAAAGAACCCAGCAGGGCTGTGGGAAATGCCACCAGGACATCTAGGAGACACCCATATAATGGTTTGTCTCTGTTTTCAAGATGTACAATCAGGATTAACATCTCTGCTCAAAAGAAGAGGGAAAAAAAAAGCGAGGAGAAATCTTCACCCACATTACAAATTACAAGTCACTTCTAAAGCTTTCAGCAGGCAAATTCACACTTTCTAAGATCTTTTTGTGATAATGTTCAGGATTGTCCTCGAGTTTTAATTAATGCTGCTATTTAACATTCATACTGCACCTGTGCCTAGAAGCCAAGCAAATGGATGCCCAAAAATTCTGGGCACTATGGTAAATTAATCTTCTTAAACATACATGTAAAATGGGCCATTAGTACTTCTAAATTCTGACTTTAATATTTTAGTACATTTCCAGTCTCCTGTTCTCCTAAATCTTGAAGGAGATGATGTTTCTTCGGTTGGCATAGATTTCAGTGCAAGATGGGAGATTTCAGTATCTGACATCTCATCCTCTGCTAATATCATCTAGTATTTTATCTAACACACAAAGAACACAGAAGTTATTTTATTTACATAGCCTAATTATTGCAGCTGTTATGTTTGGCATTTATTAGAGTGTTATTGCTAAATTTATTGATACACCTGCTACTGGCTTGTCTGTTGTGGAGCAGGATTTCTGCTTACACAAAGTTAAATATTGTGTATTTGTCCTCACTTCTATGAGCAACTGCAAAACAGTTTTTGAATTAACCTGAAAGACTTGTGAAGAAGAAAAAAAACAAACCACAATTATTTATTCTCAATTTATGCCTAAAATTTGTGTGTTTAGGAGTTCTGAAGGTTTTTATCAAATAAACTGGGAAGTTCCAATGACTTCCAGAAAGGCTCCATTACCTCTACCTGAGTTTGGAGAAAAATAAACTGATGCTATAACTTTAAAATTGATCGGGAATAAGCACTTTTTATCTTGACATATGGATTTAGGAAAGCCGAAAATTACTTCTGAAGATTCTACCTGGCAGGCTAAAATATTCCTGTAAATACAGCACGTAGGCTATCAGAGACTTGCCCCTGGTCAAGGTGTGGATGTTCATATAAAAATCAGAATATTCATAAAATATATTATTCAGCAGTTCCAGTGGATTTTATTAGAAGCAATTAGACAGTAAACTTGCATGACTTTTTTTCTTCTTCCTTTTCTTTTGTTTGCTTTTTGTGTAGTCCAAGAAGAGAAAATGTCACGGCATTGAATAGCTGTCAGGCACATATCCCCTAGGGACTATATTAGTTCTACTTGCTTCAGTCCCACCACTACCTTTGAAAATTCCCCAGAGATGCTACAGTTAGTTAGATCATCTACATGAAAGGACTAGACTGGCATAAGAGCTAAAGCTACAAAGAGGTAGGGCCAAAGTAGAACACTGTTCCTACATGGGATTCCATCAAACCAGCACTGAAACCCAGTAGGTTTCATTCATTCACTCATCTACATTCATTCACAGGTTTGGACCCTTGGCTCAACTTTTTATTAAAGCAAAATGTTTTTTTTGCAGGAGCTACTTTTTCAATAAAAATATTTTTTTTCCTCACAGCATCTGTTTTCAAGGAATGTCCTTAGTTCAGTGCTATGTCACCCTTTAATTTAATACTGCTGTTTTATCATGAGATTCTTATAAATGTTTTAGTTTAGATGTTTGTATGCTCTTGGAAGCCAATACTGTGCAGATGCACATATTTGCTACTTTTTTGTTTTGTTTTGTTTTTTTTTCAGGTAATATCAAAATTATCAAACAAGTCTACGCTATCTCAGGTATGTTAGTCACATTTTAAATATGGCAAGCTTGACTTTGAAACATACATACAGTTATGGCCAGAATAAAGCTGGAAAAACTTCAGTTGACTTCCATGGTTTCAGAATGAGACTTTAAATAGCATCCTGTGGATAGTTCTGTCACAGTCCATTTTATGAGTAACAGCTTATGATCTTTTCTTCCAGGTGCTGGATTTGGATATCCTACTATAGCACCTGCATTTTAAATACATGATTACCCAAGCCAAAGTTTTGAATATGGGTAATGCTAATTCACTGTAGAGTATAGGCTGCATCAGTGCCAGGTCCTATACAATCTGATCATCATGACAGCCTTCAGATGACTATTATGGTTGACAACAAGACTATTATATTTTATATAGACAGGTCTTTTGCCACTGATTCAGATTCTTACCTTTTCATACATCTCAGATGGAAAGGACCTAGTTCACTAAATCTGTCAATATATACTAAGTGAAAAGCATTCACTCAATGGAAGTGTGCTGTAGCACACAGCAAAATTAAAACCATGCTGCAAAATATTTAGTTAGATACTAATAGAAGCTTAGAACATTTGGATAAACACACCAAATCTGCATTTTGAGCCAGCCAATCTTACTTGGCCTGTATGTGGGAAATTTGACTATACAAGCTCATCTGTGATTTTCTATCTAAAGTTATCTCTGCCTTAATCAAGCTACATTAAGAAGAGTAGCTTGAAAAAAATAACAAAAAATGAATAGCAATATTTTCTGAAACCATGAAGTTACATTTGGCTGTATTCTTCACCGAGATGTGTGGATTTTGTTAATTTGACTTGGACGCAAATTCTGCCTTAGTCCGTTCACCTACTACCAATAAATACAGTAAGCTCTATCACGGGAATAAATGGAACTGTGTTTGAGTTATGGCCTGATCTTGACATAAACTCCATGTTTGCATATCTTAGCACCCATGACGAGTGTATTTTGTTACCATGAAACATGAACAAACAATAAATGCTCTCTTACACTGTACTTTAATTATTTAATTATTTATGTATTTAATTAGTACATATACTACAGAGCCCAGGTCTATGTCATCTCTAAATTGCCTTAATTCCAATATCAAGCATTCAAATTACATTCTTTTAAAAAACAGATGTAGCTTTGCCTTTCAATGACTCAGTTCTGAGGTTGACACTGTCACACCACTGGTGCATTAATGGGACTTTGTGTAAACTGAAAAAATCTGCCTACTGTCTCAGCAGTGGTTTCAGTTACAACAACTAAGAAGGATACAGAGGACATTCAGGCTTGAGTTGAACTCAGTTCTTTCCCTTGGTACACCAGAAGTCTGGAAGTGTAACATTCAAAAGAAATAATGCCTTTCTAAAACAAGATTAATATACTCAAGTGTACGCATGGCCCATGGCTTGTAAGAACTAGTCATGTAATCTTTCTTGGTTAGAAAACATATTGCAATGAGTTCACTGGCTATGGCTTTAGTGAGCTTTTTAAATTTGTTTGTATTTTCCTCAAGTATGCACATGTAGCCATAGTTGAGGAGGGAAGCTTGGAAGAGTTCCAAAAGAGCTCTTTCTAAATAGAAATGAAAGCTGTGCTAGATCTGAGTTTCTCCCAGGATGAATACCAGAAGAAATTGTGTTTTTGCAACATCAGGCTCTGAATTTTATGCTATTATGTATTATCTGCTATTTTAGACAGAACTCAAAGGAAATGGAAATATAAAGAAGAAACTCCCTTCAATTGTGGAAGATGAAGACGAAGATGAGGAAGGAGAAGAAGAGAGCAACACCCTTTCACCAATCCATACAAGAAGCACAAATTGCTCTCAGCAGAAGAAGGCTGGAAGCAATAAAAGTCACCTAGGGAGAAACTTGAAGCAGTTGGCCTCAGGAACAGTTCCCTTTCATTCACCCATCCGTGCTTGCAGTTCAAACCCCTCAAGAACCAAACATGAAACAGAGCTCCATTACTACTCCAGAAGGAAGGAGAAAAACCTTAAGCTACACCTTTCAGCCCTGACCTCCAGTGGTCCACCTGACCTGAGCCCAAGGTAATAGTTATGAACAGTTATTTTCTTCCCTGTCATGTAACTCCTATTAAAAGTATCAGGTTTGTAATTCTATAAAATATTTCTTTTTCTTAAATAGTTGATACTTCTGTTCATTCTACAGAGAAGGAAAAGCCCTCTTATTGTAGGAACTATTACACACTATGCAGAATGTTAGGACTTTAGGACTTTATTGTGAAATAAAGTGTTTCTACCAGTAAAAAGGGAAAGTTTTGGGCAATTACCAAAATGACTATTTGAACATGGCTTTATAGTATCATTTTGTCCATCTATAATACTATGCATTCCCACAATAGCACTGTGAAACATTCTGAGTCCAGACAGCAATTTAGAGAGCAAGTAGATGGTAATACAGCATATCTGTGCTAAAACAAAAAATTACTGGAGTAAAAGGACTGTAATGAAAAGCAACTGCCTAGCAACTTTAGAAAATATTTTTAGATTTTTTACATTAGAGAAAAGAAACCTGGTAATGCAAGTTATGTAGAAAATAAATATGGAGTTTAGAAAATCTGTTTTGCTGTGACTTTTCAAATAAGCAAAAGTCATATAATAGTTTATTATGGTATTATTAGTATATAATTTCTAATATTTTAATTTCTTACTTGTATGCTACTTGTAAGGTGATTTATGTATCTTATTTCTAAATTGCTGCAACAAAATAATTAATTATTAACCAAAAGATTTGGGATCAGTTCTTTACAGAAACCACAATCACTTTTTAACGTATGAGGAGCTGTGGCAGTTGATCTTTCAATTCAAATTTTGTTTTCTATAATTGGGAGTATCTTGCATGCTCAAGAACTTCCTTTCTTCATTAGAGACCAAGTGGTAGGTTCAGCAACTTGCCATTACAAACATAATACAGCCACAGCTTGACGAATATTTGTTTAGCTCTGTCAAGGCATCTATCCCTAAGGTTGTAATCATAAAAAGGACATTGAAGGGTATATAGAAATCTTTCTCTCTCATCATATATTTGATCAGTACAGTCACATTTCAAATAAGAGCAGGATACAAACTAATTTTAGTTTTGTCAATACACAGGAAAATAATGTGTGGGAAACCAGCTTCTATGCTATCAAAATTGAAATGCATAGTGAATATTTTCTCATTTTTTTCATAGATCTCATATGAATTTGGTTCAGGTCAGCTGTGAGTAAAGGTCATTATAATTTGCATAACAAATGGTAATTCAGGGAAAATCTATCTTTCATATTTTCTGCTGAAATGTAATCTTGCTCATTATTGTTCCGAACATAAGCAGCCAGATATTGGCACACAAGGCAACAGGAGCAAATGTGAAACAAGTATTGTTACATATATTATTATTTCCTATTTCTATTCATAATTTTATAGCTACAGAATAATCCTGTTAATACCTTAGAAAATTTGCCCAAGACATATGTGTTTTTCAGACTTTGTTTTCCAGCCAAAACACTTTCATATTATTTCCTAAAATTAGCTTATATTATCAGAACTTAAAAAAACCCCAACAAACCACACTTCAAAAAGAGCTTTAAATATTCGTAAGTATTAAGTGGAAAATAAAACCTTAATTAAGATCCTCTCTTTTGTCTGCTGTTGGACAGCAGTGTAAGCGGAAGGCAAGACTCTGGTTGAAATGTACACTTCACAACTGCACTGATTGTATAACCACGCTTTGTCAAGAGAATATAATTTATCTGCTTAAGAAACTTGTTCTGTTGTGGATGTTTCTTAGAGTAAGCCAACCAGAACTCTTCACTGGTGCTTCAGGTTCTTTCCTTGTACACTATAGTGAAGGCAATAAAGCACAGAAACTGGATTAAATATTTAAATAGTTCTTGGCACAAGGAATAGAAACCAGCCTCCTACCTTCTAGGATACAGTCGTAGTCTTTGCAATCACTTTTTGGGTACTACCTATGAAGTAGAAGAGCATCAAAATGAATAAAAGGTGTAAATAACAATAAAGGCAGTCCTGGGAGGAGATATTTAAGTACCTGAATCTCCCCTGACCCACATGGATGAGTGCACTTTAGCCATGATCAAATGGACAGAAGACATCACATGTTAATTTCTTCTGAATTTTTGGCTTCTAGGAGTGAAGGTGTCTGCCTTCAGGAGAAAATTCAGGGCTGTACAACAGCTAATTCAGAAAGCGGAGAGGTTTACCAATTACTTTTGTCCCTTCATGTTTTCAGCTCAATAGATTATGTTTCTCCACAGCCAGTTAATTGTATATGAATAAGCATTCATATACAAGCATTGAATAACTATTCAAACATCTTGCCTATTACATATTTCCTACATAGAAGTATGTCTTTTGGCTCTCCAAAACTAGCTGTTTTTGCTAATATAGTTTCTTTTTAGTCTGAATCTTTAAATGCTTTAAAGAATATAGTATCTATAAATTCCAAGTCACGTCTGAGTAGGTTTTCCCTTGTGTGCTTTAAAGGCAGTTAAAATGTCAACATTTATGTAATTAGAAATCTCTACAAAAGGGATATTGGTGTTTAAAATTTTCTTTTTGAAGCAGTGAGGGCAGATGACATTAAATAGGTTTTACAGCAAATTTCAAACAAAGTAATCATTCAGGTTTTCAGCTGCAGTATAGGCCAGAGCAGCTCAAGCACTACATTTCAGTCTCATCTCCTCCCAGAAGCTGTTTAAGATTCAAGTGAAGTCTAATAACATCCAACTGGCATCATGAACACTCAGACATGACACAGAGCCTTAAACCTGCATGAACAGCCAAGGACAAGAACACATGGTATATGCACAGAGCTCTAAATTACATGGGTCTTTCAAGCCAAATACATCACAGATACTTCTCTGTTGTCTGTTCTTCCTTTCTCCAAACATTTCCAGTCAAGAGGCTTTGCTTGACAATATCTTTATTAGATGGAAAGTCTAATTTCCACCATCACAAAGTTATCATCATTGACTGAGGCCAAGAACTGTTTGCTTTAGCCCTTCCAGATTAGTTTTTTACTCAACTGTGTACTGTAAAAAAAAAAATCTGAATCTTGTGTCTGGACAAAGCTAGAAAGTGATGATCCATGTCTTTTGAGAACAAAAAATATTCATAATTATATATTTTAATAATGGACATTAATTCCTCCATCTCATACCAGGTTTCTATTCTTTGTTCATGGTACTTGACTATTGTATAAAATGCTTCTTTTTTTTCTTCCTTTGGGTATCTAAACACTGAAAATTGAAGGTCAACCGCAACATATAAGTAGAAATAACTGACGAAGAGACCTTTTCTAGTGGTTAGATCAAATAATGTAACTAGGACATTGCAGGCTGGAGTACACATCTTCCTATACCCCAGTTGCAAACAATATTGTTCTGCCTGAGATAGTTTTAACTGAATTTGAGATAAGGTTTTTTGCATGGCAACAATCCTTTTAACAGTGGTTTACAGAAGTGCTTTCATAAATATATTATGTTCAGGCCTAGGATCTGCCTAAGGAAGCCTAATATAAGACCCTGATTTATGTACAGGGAGATTTAAACTTCACAAGAGCATAGAGAAGCATTTTTAGTTTGTGTAGAATAAAGAATGACAACAGATTAGACACAAAAAGCAAACTATATTCAATACAGGCTTTGTTAGGACTCAGAATATACTGCAGAAGTCATGCAAATTTTGAAACTTCAATTATGGTTGGCCTTACCTGCCTTCCTCTAACAGTAAGTTTAATCTTTAGTGACTCACAAGAAGTTATACTGGTATAATAGTTTTTACTTTTCTCTAAACTTAATGTTCTGCAAATTTTACCGTTGCTTAAAAATGTGCCCTTTAGGAGTAATTTTGACAACATATAATTATGAATGTGATATTTATGAAACTGTTTATGAAACTGCTCCATCACTCCAATTTTTCTCAACAGAATTGTTGATGGGATTGAAGATGGAAATCATAATGAGGAAAACCAGACCTTTGACTTCAGCTCTGATCAGCTCAGGCAGGAATCCAGGTTATCTCCTACAATTGGAGGTGAGATTTGCCTGGGAAAATCACTTCTTAGAGTAAACAGTTTTCATAAGTGCTTTTTGTTCTCCATTGTTTCTTTGATTCTCAGAAAGTTAAAGCCTTACAAGTGGCATAAATGGACTTAATATATATCTGTACTTTCAGTATCATTTCAGTACAACAATGACTACTGCAGAAAAATACAACAGGGGCCAAAGGCCATTTGTTGTTTTCCTGCTAACAGACAAGTCATGATAAAACAGCTTGCAAAGAGTACTGCATTTTCATGCATTATATTTTGCCAGCGATATTGTAATATCAGCCCAGAGCCTCATGCTCCCAACCCTTTGGGCATGGAAGGTACTAAACACAAGGACAAATACCAAATAACAATAATTTTTTAAAAATCATAAAAAGCCATATACAAACTTGGCTCTCAATTTCTGTGAAATGAGGTGGAAGAGTATGGAAGTATCTAGATTTTTAGAAGTAAATGAGTGAAAACCTTGAGTGCAGCTCAGACTGTTTCCAACATCCCTTCTCTTAAGAGTAAACAATTCTCACATAGTTATATACTTTTTATATGGAGGCTATTAGGACACTTTTTGTTCCTTTTGAAGTCAAAAGGAAAAAGAATAGTAGAACTTTAATTGTATCTATAATTTTTAAAAATAGTTGACATGTCACACGGTTAGTGCCAGGGTTGTCATTTTCAGTCCTTTCAGGTCCAGACTGAAGAGTATGAACTTTCTTCTTTCCCTTTTCTTACACATTCTACACTGAACATTAAACACAAGACTTTATTTTCATTTGATCAAAGTGCAAACCAGGTTTAAATTTAAAGCATTGGATAAATGCAAGAATAGTACTGCTGTTTCCAAGTTATTATAATTCTGTAATTTACATGCATTTGAATTATTTTCAGAAGCTGAAATTGGTGCTGCTGTGCTTGTTATCAAAGCAGAAGAGACCAAACAGCAGATCAGCAGGCTTAATAATGAGGTAATGAGCTTTTGTGGGAATTGGAGGATATTAACAGTGGTTCAAGGAATGCTGGAAAAAACTCAGAAAACTTGGGAATATGATAAACAAGCAATAAACAAGGATGAAGTTCCTACATTTAGGGCAGTTTGGAGCTTTTAACTCTTTCCAAGGATAATTATCTGTATTAAAGCTGTACAAAGGTTTCTGTCATGTGCTAGAGCTAAAAGGAAAATGAAGTTAGTATAGTTAGCATATCTAATATTCTTCTGTTAGTATATCTAATATTCTTCTGTATGTGCTTCTGTTGTTCTCTCTCCTGTCATTCTTTCCCCAAGCCGCTTCCTCAGACTATTCTTGTTCTGGTGAATGCTATACTTTTGGAGAATTTCCATGAAAGAAATGCAAATCCAGTCATGTTTGAATTCACATCAAGCATTTTGAATTACTTCAGTTGTGCCTATTTAGGATGAAACAGAGGTTCATCCATTCCTCCTCAAGCGATATGACCTGAGGAATGCAGGGCCAATATTGTTCAGTGGTGCTTTATATTCTTCCCTTCTAAAAACTTCAAATCTCTAAACAACTATCAATCCCACACTAAAGAGGAGATGTCCTCTGGCTAAACTGCTTCCTATATCCAACTACTGCAGTACTTTGGCTAGCAAGATGAAAGCATTAAACTTCAACTTCATAGTTACACTGCAAGACTAAAATCTGTTCCCAGCATACTCTGTGTTTCAGTATGAATAGATTAGAGACAATTCCTTATGATTCCACATGAGGAAACGCTTAAATAAGCCTAGCTACACAGTTTCACTTCTTTTTTTCCTGATCTCTTTGGTTACCAGCAATGTCAAGCTTTATTTTATTTTTCCTTCTGTATTGTGTACACTTAATCTAGTTATTCTTTATTTTCATATATGAAGTATTGGGCTTGTAAACCTTTTTCATCCTGTGTCAGGTTAACTTAGTCAGATAACTCAAATATCCTAAGCTAAGTGGGCATGCATAGTTAGTCACTATGAATGCAACACCTCATTTATATGTCAAATTGTAGAGTTCAGACAAAAGTCTCATGCCCCATTGACTGCAGCTTTTCATAAGGCTTGGTCAAAGAACTCTCAAATATCTCCAAGATGCTCATTAACAATACTATTATGATAGAAGAATATATTTGCTTGGTAATACTTTCGAAACAAACAAGTCATATTGATTCATCACTTTTGTCTTTGAAGAGGGCAGGTATTTTTAAAATATGAAGATGTATTACATGGTTATCCACAAGAAGCAATTGGAAAATATATCATCGTGGCAGATGTGCTCAGGCAGGCATATTGTGGATTAACCAAACATTTTAACTCCAATAGTTCTGGGCTTGTCATTGCTTTTCTAGTGCAAAGCAATAAATATATATTGGAGGAATATGTTAGACAAAAGAAGAAAAAACATGCTGAAGGTCATTTCCCTCCGTGCACAATCTTCATTTTTCCCCGTTAAATGTTACGCAACTTGCTTCCTCACACTAACTTAAAAAAGGAAATATGGCCACATGCAGTAAAACACTAAAGTTTCCACATATGGAAAAGAATCTAAAATCCAGAGACAAAGACTGCACTGTTCTGAATATGGCTCACTCCTATCTTTTAAAATTGAGGAGGAAGGATCAGTCCATTTTTTCAAATAGTATGCTACCTGTGAGACTTCACGTGAAATAAGAGGTGCTTACCTGCCAAGACTTCTGCAATTTCTACTGTCATGGAGACGGATTTGAACAGAAAAAAAGAAGTCATGGCCAGCAGGTCCTTCTTTTCTTGCCACAGAAATGTGACAGAAGTTGGTTCATCTATAGTGTCTGTCTGTTGAGCAGGTAGTAGGAGTCCTTTAAGTATGAAACTCTGGATATTTAAAATGAGTACCGCTAGCTCAATGTGAAACAGAATTTTTTTTCACAGTGTAATTGACTGAGCCCTGCACTAACACAGAGTGCTAATTACTAAAACTGAAAGCCAAACAATATTTTGGTAGGTTTAGACATCTTTTGGCAACACCTGAATTCATTTATATCTAGCCCAGTTAATGACAAAATAACATTAACAATAATGCAACCTGAAGATACCACAACAATGTTGAAAAAATTCTAAAAACAGCTGTACTTACTGTTTAGTCACAGAGGAGAAAGATATCTTTCTTTGATTACAGAACCTCACGGACCTTCTAGAAGATTGTAGAGGTACATGAGGGTACATAAATTATTATAGAGAACCCTACGCTGTGGCAGATACATCAGACTTAGTCTAGAAAACTAAGGGAGTATTTATATTCAACTTTGCAGTATCCCTAAGATTAATTTACTCCACGTTGTATAAAGTATATTACATAGAGTACATCTAAACTAGTGTAGACATGTTTAAGATTATATTGTTGTTGGTGCCTTGCAGCCTCCTCCTGAAAAAGAAAATAGGAGAAAATAGGTCACAAGTAGCCAACAGCAGAAAACACTATCGTTAATATATTTTCCAGTGGAGATCAGAAGTCAGTCAACAAATGCAAAAATAACTGCTTTCATGAAAGGTAATTGTATTACAACAGTCCACTAGTTAGCTTAAAAACATTCCAGTTGTTCGTTGGGGGAAGAAATACATGTATCCTCTCATTCAGACATTCAATACAGTCTGTTGTCAGCAGAGCAAAACAGAGTTATCCCAGAGATAAATTTACAAAACAAGCTATACCCAGCTTACATATCAGTGGATATACCCAGCTTACATATCAGTGGACCTCTTGGAAGTATTTTAGGCATGTGACATTCACTACATAATCCAAAGGAAAGTTCATTTACCTAAGAATGGGACTAACACAAGACAGAGCCTTGATTTCACTTCTCAGAGTTTTGGGTTTATGTTTGGTTGGTTGGTTTTTCACACATTAACTTTAGGACTAATGGATGCACAGATTTCCTCTAAGGAAGATAGGCTCCAAAGTCAGTACTGCCACTTTACTAAGCAACGTGAGAGAAATGTGAATACACCCCAAATTCCTATCGTATAGCTCCATGGTTTGGCTGCTCAGCCAGTTATCCAACTTCTTCATTTCCTCACCTAACCTCACTACTTCTTTTAAGCCTGAACAGGATCCAAGCTGATCAAAGGGAACTTCCCTCCAGTTCAGTATTGCAAGGTAGAGTGGAAAAAGACTACTTAATCTCCTACCCTATTTGCCCATTCCACTTAGTCTAAATAATCTCCCAACAAAAAAGGTATGACTTTCATTATAGTTCAATATGATGCAGGCAGGAGAGTTAAGGTTAAGGTTCAGGTTCTTGCTCCTGTAAAAATGCAATTATTTAAGCAATAGTTTCAAGATTAAGTGGCTGAATAACCAACAGCATGGCACATTTTCTTAGCTGGGAAAGCTTGATTTTAAAACCTGCTCCAAATTAGACAGAGAGAGAATTTAGGACAGGTCTTCTGTCTTACAAGTATGTATCCTTCCCTTGCAGAGATCTGTATACCCGACCTGGTCTTTCCAATGCATTTGTCTGCAAAGACTGATTAGATGAGTGTATCTAAACATTCAGCATCTTTTCAGAGGCACCGCTTACCTGGTACAATCATACATAACTACTAATGAGCCCAGAATTAAAACCAGGAAACCATTAAGGAGTTTTTCTGAGCTATAAAGACAGCCATACAACTCAATTAAAGCACCTGCCTGTAACTGTCCTGTTGTCGGTATCCTACTAGGCTTTTAGCTATCATTTGAATGTAATTGTAAGAAAAGAGCATGGAAATACTTCTACTTTGATTCAGTGTGCAAAAGCCAAATCTGAATTATTTAAAACATAGACTAGTTAAAAATAAGAAAATACTCAAATTTTAGTCATTATTTTTCTCCCATAATTCGCAGAGTGCACATGTACACGTTCAACATTCAAATACATAGGTCAGCAATTTTATGCTCAGATATATAGGAAATCTTGTGCAGTGCATGCAGAATAAACTCAGATTTCTTTGTCATGGCCCTTGTTTTTCCCATATATGATCCAGTTCCAGTGCAGTCTCCTTTAGCTTCAGAATTTGAGGGCTGATTTCATACTTTACTACATCTGTAGACCCCACCATACTAAAACAGTATAATGAACAGAATACTCGCATTTCTCCCATTCAACTGTAAAACAAACATGAGGAAATATGAATAGGGTCAAGGTTTGTACTAGAAAATTGCCTTTAGCTGCATGTTGGAGCACTTAGTGGAAATTCAGCTATTTTTGATTTTAGGTTTTTTAGATGCAAGGGTTTAAAATACTCTAAGCATTTGACACTTATTCAGAACAAAGAAAATGCATTCACGAGGATATTTCACCTTCATCTATGAAAAGGAACAATCCTATATAAATACATTTATTTTCCAAATAATCTAAAGAAATTTTATAAATAGCTTATTCTAAAACATATTTCACATCCAGCTGCCAAAAAATCAATCTCACGGGAAAAATGAATTCTTTTTTTTTTTAAGCAAAACATTCCTTAATACTAGAAATGTATGCACATGATGGAAACCATCATTTTGTAATCATAGAATAATAGAATCACTTAGGTTGGAAAAGACCTTTAAGATCATCAAGTCCAACTGTTAACCTATCTGCCAAGTCCACCACTAAACTATGTCTCTAAGTGTCACGTCTAAACATCTTTTAAATACCTCCAGGGATGGTGATGCCTAATCAGTGCCAACAAAGCAAATTTGGTAAAGCAAAGTTTTTCAGGCCTTTAGTTTTACATTGAGTTCAATTTGCAGCTTAAGAACTCATATAAGGAACTTCCCTGACTTACAGTAATTAAAAATGTGTTCTTTGTAACAAGTTTTGTAACTATATTTTCACATGAGAGACTTTATTTTGTAGCAAGGCTATCCCAATAATTCACTTTGAGAAACATCTTTCAAATCAAGAAAAAAGTGGCAAAAAGTGAACTAATGACATTTATTGATGAAGAAAACTAATTATGACTAATCTATTC